CCGCGTTGCTCGGCAACACTGTCAGCGCGCACGCGCGCTACCGCCGCCCCGCCCACGCGGCGCCGCGTTGCTTGGCAACACTGTCAGTGCGCATGCGCGCTACCGGCTCCATGTCTACGCAGCGGCTAATGCGGCTTCGCGTTGCTTGGCAACGCTCTCAGTGCGCATGCGCGCTACCGGCTCCATGTCTACGCAGCGGCTAATACGGCGCCGCGTTGCTTGGCAACGCTGTCAGTGCGCATGCGCATTACCGGCTTCGTGGTTCTGAGGGGATGGGAAGGAGGAGAAATGGGGTAGTGGGGGCTGCTGTGGAGGGAATGCGACATTTCCGTGGTGTTTCCTGTACCCCGTGATCCTGGACAGTTTGCCAGCACATGGGACATGGTGTCACTGACCGCTGACAGTTGGGGGTACAGTGGGGACAAGCCTGAATCTGCACTGGGCATGGAGAGCCCGCACGGCAGGCTGTGGTCTGGCACTGTGAGRCCAAGCCTAGAACGGACAGGGGGATGGCGGTGTGTGGAAATAAAAAGGGTTTGAGGGGGTGACAGGAGAAAGGGTGAGGAAAATCGTCACTGTTATGAGCTGCACTGGGACTTCCAGGCAGGACTTCCCCGTGAGCATTTTGGGGACATTGTGGGGAGCAACAACMTCCATCAGCAGATACCTGTCTTGATATCTTGGTCTCCTCTCTGAGGAGAGGACACCAAGCCCTGCTGCAGCTCAAAGGTCATGGATGTCATAGGCCATGACAGCCCTTCTTCCATGGTGCCCAAGCACTGCAAATACCTGATTTTTTTTCTTCTCCAAATGTCCCATCTTTGGGTCTGGTGTGTGATGCACACATTCAGTGACTGCCCGCACTCCTGAAACTTCCTCTCCTTCCCCTGTTGCCAAGTACGTGGCRAACAACACTGAAAGCAGAGGCAAAACCACTTGGAGACAACAATGAACCAATCCGAAGGCAGAGAACCAGCATGAAGGCTGAGCTCTTGGCTGGGTACCTTGCGGGACGAGACTTGTCCTAACGCCCAACATGTCCCTTGTGCTAAGGAAGGTGGCACTGGGGCTGTCTAGACTTAATTGCTTAGTGTTAGTCGCTAATTTTGTTGGAGCCTCAGGCCCCACTCAGGTACTACGGTGTGGTCACACCTAGTTAAGTAAAAGAGGGCCCAGAGGCTGTTCAAGATGGAAAAGTGAGGAAGGAAACAGTCTGCCTAGGAGACAGCCAAGGGACCCAGCGATGAGCAGGATGACCCCAGACCTGATATTATGATTGCTCCAAAGCACTGTATGAGGGATGGGGAATTTAAATTGTAAGGCTATAAATGGCCGTGGTGGCACTTTGTCCGGGTGAAGGCACCCAGTTTAAGGTGTATCTGTGTTACTTGAAATAAACCCTTTTAACTTGGAAAAATCAAAGGTTTAATCAAGAAACAAACTTTGAGGCATACTCAGAACAGGAGGAGGAAGTTAGAGCAAAGGTGGAAGCAGGGGCAGATGGATCCCTAGATGGGCCCCTTTGGAGTTCCACCTGGCAAGACATGTCAAGGACAACCTGAAGGGCTTCTTCAAACGCATCAGTAGCAAAAGGAAGACTGGGGAAAATGTGGGTGCRCTGCTGAATGGGATGGGATGCAGCACACAGGATAGGCAGTCACTAAATGCCGCCTTTGCCTCAGTCTTTACCAATAAGACCAGGAATCCAGGGATCCCAGGCTCTGGAGATGAGGGAAAAAGACTGGAGAAAGGAACATCTTCCTCTAGGAAGAGGGACAGCATCTTCCTCTAGGAAGGGAGGACCACCTAGGAGATCTGGGGTCATCCTGTTCATTGTTGGGTCCCTTGGCTGTCTCTAGGCCGGTTGTTTCCTTCCTCGCTTTTGTGTCTTGTCTTGAATGGCCTCTGGGCTCTCTTTTACTCAACTAGGTGTGACCACACTGTAATACCTGAGTGGGGCCTGGGGCTTCAGCATATTTAGCTACTAGCACCAAATGACTAAGACTAGACATCCCCAGGGCCAACTTCACAGAATTCCAGATTAGTTGAGGTTGGAAGGGACCCCCAGGGCTCCCCCAGCGCAGCCCCTGCTCCAGCAGGGACACCCAGAGCACRGGGCACCCGGGCGCATCCCGGCGYGCTGGCARATCTGCAGAGCAGGAGCCTCCGCAGCCTCCCTGGGCAGCCTGGGCCAGGGCTCGGGCACCCTCCCACCAAACAAGTTCTTCCTCACGGSCAGATGGCACTTCCTATGTTAACCTTCCTTAACACAAGGGACACGCTGGGCATTGGGACAGGTTTTGTCCTGCAAGGCACCCAACCAAGAGCTCAGTCTTCATGCTGATCCTCTGTMTCTCCACACACTCTGCACCCATGAAGGCCAAACACCGCAAATTCCTGTTTCTTTCTTCTCTAAATGTCCTCTCTTTGGGGCAGCATCACTTTGACACCTTTGGGTCTTGTGTTGTCCCCCGGGGCTGGGGTTGTCATGCAATGGCAACATTGCRATGACACCCCTGGCCCTGTGATGTCCTTTGGGCCAGCATTGTGATGTGATGTCAATGCCACGTTGACACCTCTGGGTCTGGTGACCCTGCCATGATCTGGGGTTGTGATGCGATGGCAACGTCACTTTGACACCTTTGAGCCTTGTRATGTCCTCAAGGGCTGGGGTTGTGATGTGATAGTGACGTTGCAATGACACCCTTGGCCCTGTGACGTCCCTCGGGATGTGATTTTGATGCCACATTGATATCCTTGGGTCTGGTGATCCCACCATGGCCTGGGATTGTGATGCGTTTTTTGTGCCGTGTTGACACCTCTGGGTCTGGTGACCGACCCCACCATGGCCTGGGGTTGTGATGTGATGGCGATGTCATGTTGACACCACTGGGCCTTGTGATGTCCCCAGGCTGGTGTTGTGATGAGACAGTGATACCACATTGGCACCCTCCAGCCTGGTGCCCCTGCATGGCCCAGAGCTGTSATGCGATGGTGCCCCCAGGCCCTATGTAACATCATGTGGAGTGGAYGAAACCTTCCTGTGAAGGTTTCCTCTGGGTTCCAGCCCCGAGGGGACACTGTCCCCAGAGCCGCGTGTGCCCCGTGCCCAAAGCCCGGTCAGCCCGGCCTTGCTGCAGAAGTGTCCCCGGATCTCACTGCATTGTGACCATGGACAAGGCCTTGGCAAGGCCATGGAGTGGGACGCGCTGCGCCTGGCCCCAACAGCCATTTTGTGGGGCGCTACATCCCCACCAGTGGTCCCGGCAGCCATTTTGTGGGGAGCGACGTCCCCACCAGYGGCCTCTTCTCCCTGAGGAGAGGACATGGAGCCCTGTGTCCACGGGCCCCTGCAGCAGCCCTGCTCGCGGGCCTCGCGGGCCTCGGCAGCCGCTTCCCAACTCCCATCCGCCTCCCTTCTCCATGACAACTCCCAGTGCGAGAACCATGGCAACCCCTTGGTAACAGTGCAGGCAACTGCACCCGTGTCCCCAACGCGGCCTGGAGCCGCCAGAGCCGCCGGGGAAGCTCTTCCCACTTCTGGGCTATGTTGGAAGAGCAGCTTTCTTTAGGAAAAAGCCCATGGTAGCAAACCCACCAGCCTGCCCACCAAGGTGGTGTCCACCTCCCACCACTATCCATGCCCTTTATGGACCTTCCAGAGGCTTCCACCCAATCAAAGCTCAACCCTAAACCTTTCCTTTCCTGGGAAGCTACTGCTTGGATCGCATCATGCCATGAGGCTGCTTTTACCAGGGACCCTGCTCACAGCTTGTCCTGGTGAGAAGGTCCTGGAACAGTAGGGAAACCAGGGATGGTCCTTGCCCGGTTCCTTGGGTGACCATGCCCAAAACAAAGCAAGTTTGGGGCACTGGGTGCTCCCCTAGCAGGAGCTGGGACTTGGTGCTCTCAGGCCAAGGCCAAGCCCATGGTCTTTGCCCAGCAGAACCCATGTCCTGGGCCACCCAGCAGGGACATCCCCATGAGTGTTTCCCTTGGTGTCCCTGCCCCGAGGAGCATGTGCTGTGCCCAGAGCAGCAGGTTTCACCCCACAAGGGTCCCCTCCTCCAGATGGGGGCACCTGCTGTGCTGACCCCTGGTCTCTTTGTGGATGTCCATAGAGGAGGCCACCTTGGCAGCTCTCCTGGTGACCCTGGCACTTCCATCCGTAGAGGGCCCCCACGGCAGCCCCTTGGGGCTGGGGTGAGATGCCGGTGGCCTTGGCAGCAGCCTCCCCACTTCCAGCCTCCTCCTTTTTCCATGGCAACCCCAGGCACGAAAACCATGGCAACCCCTTGGCAACAGCACAGGCAACTCCACTGGTTTCTACAAGCTGGGGCCCAATGTGGGGTGGATACCTGGGCATAATGACACCCGGAGTTGTCTTCCTCTGTGTTTCACCAGCAGCACCTTCCTCCTTGCCCCGGTGAGCACCCATTGCTGATGACGGAGAAGAAGGGCTGYCTTTCAGGCCTGAGTCAACCAGACCTGGTTGTGTCAACCTCATCCTTATCTCCTCAGCTCACTTCATCCCGGAGCCGGGGACCAGGTTCCCCTATCCCAGCACATCCATTCCTTTCCTGAGGGTCCGATCCACCTAGATGTCACCTTTTGAAGTGGCAGCATGGGAAGTGGTCTCAGAAACCTTTATGAGGAGCTTCACTGGTCTTGAAGCCAGTATAAGCAGGTCCCCTGGTTGTGTCTGCTCAAATCCTGCGGTATCTGGGTGATGTAACTGGATGTACCCTCCAAGATGCATTGGAAGTTGAGCTGGGGTTGTCCAAAGCCACTGGTAGGATTTCAGCTCTACTGGGCTCAGCAAAGCGGTCTGCTCTCCCTAAACCTCAGCAGGCCAAAGGCCAGGCAGTGGGGATGGGAGATGGAGGAGAGTCTAGGGACCATAGGCACAGACCCAACTGAGGTCAAACAGCACAAACATCTCAGTGGGTGCTTCATGCAGGACCTTATTGGCGTGGCATTCACCACGCTGCYTGCTGTGGTGGGTGGAGAGACCGTGTCCAGAACATCAGGGACCAGCGAGCCCAAGCGGTCATCTCGCCAGGGGCCACTCGGTGGCAAGGCCCGGCCACCAGCCCGTGGTGGGCGCTGTCCCGGGGTGCTTGGGGACACTGTGCTGGGGACAGCAGCCACGGGGGCCACGAGAACCTCGCTCGTGCTTCATGGCTTGATGCCACAGAGCCGACGTGGCTGCTGGTGTCCCCRGCACTGAGCGGGACGGACACTGCCCTCACCCCTGTTGGGAGAAGGGAAAAATCCCCGCCTTGGGAAGCGGATTTTTCATCCCAATGCATGAGAATAAATTGGGATCTGAAAGCGTCTCTCTGATGCCAAAGGCGAGCACTGCACCGTGCAAATCACGGCACCCGCCTCCAGATCCACCCGAGCGTCTCCTGCGAACGACGTCCCCGCGTTCGCCACCCCTGGCGCCCACAATGTGCCCAGGCCTCTGCTTGGCATTTGCCRACGGGAGGGAGCCGAGCTGCCCATCTGCTCTGCCTCATCCTCCCACCCCAGCTGGGCATTTGGCGCGAATAAAAGCAGTCCCGCGGAAGGGGCTTTGGAATGAAACCCTTGTTCCGCGGGTGGGCGTGCGGCTTGGTGGCCCGTGTGTCCCGCCGCGCGCGGCGGTGTCACATCGCTGTCCCCAGCCCCGGCCGCCGCATCTCACCCGCGTGAGGCCCTGGGGCGACCCGGGTGTGCGAGGGGGGGACAGTTTGTGCCCCTTGGGGGTGGCCGGCCTCAAGAT